AATTAGTAATATGTGTACCTATAATGTACAATGTTTAATTTTTTGGAATTATTTTATTAGTAGCATCGATGTAAATAACTCGTCTAAAAATTTAAAAACTTTGGTAAATAAATTACTTGTTTGTATTTTGACTGATTTTTCTGCTGTAATGCAATGAACATATTTTAATTAAAAAATTTAAATTTGTTGTGATTGCACAATAAGTCTCCTAACCGGAGAAACGTTAAAGACGTACTGTTTGAAGTTAAAAAAAAGGTATGATGATACAAAACCCTAAATTATGTAAAAAAAATAATAAAATTAACATTTATTTTAGAGCCTCAACTAAAGATACCAGGAGTTTGAATACTACAACGAGCAGGAGAGCATGTGTACCGATATGATGTACCACAGCACTGGAATGAATACGGGCAGGCTACCAAATAGTATTTGTAAGTCTTTGTCTATTTCATTTGTTTCAAGTCACTTTTCATTTCAGTGTTACAGGAGTTAATTTCTCACCGCGACGGCAAGCACCAGAACTGCCAGATGACCGCCAGGAGATCGTGGTGTATTGTAAGGGTTGAGGGTACCCTTTTTGGGGTGCAATGAATGCTATTTGGTACATTTTAGCATTGCATTTGCCAATATACAGGGTTGACCTTAGCGCCCCAATCTGACTTTTAGTAAAAACCGGTAATTATCTGTAGAGTGCGTAACTACACGAATGAAATAGCATCTATACTTATTAACTTATTTAATATTACCTAATTGTGTTCGTCGTAGGTGCGAAGATATGACAGTATTTTTGTAGCCATGTCTTAAGTCTAAATTCTGATATACTATTGTTTTGGTTGATCATGAAGCTTGAAATTATAGATGTGTATGATACGGCGTGATGGCAAAGGGAATCGCTTACAATCGGAGAACTCTCACTTTTTCTGGATTGTGTTCTTCGCCCATGGAACAACACACGCACCATTATACACTAACTGCCGGGAGGCTTGCGTCCTACTGACTCGATTGACTACCTCAAAAGACTGATACTTAAAAAATGATTGCGACTTTGTAACGACAGCATGCAATCTTTCCAAAGTGTTGCACAACCTTTAGTGCAAACTACATCCGTCACCCGCCTATATGGTTCCTGTCGTATGAGGTCCAGAGTCGCAAGTGTTTGCGTTCTATAAAGCCATCGTACATCATTTCCAGGGAGTTGCACAACCCTTAGTGCAAACTAAATCACCTCCTGCCTATAAGGTTCCTATAGTATGAGGTCCGGAGTCGCAATCGTTTTTTAATATTAGTCCTCTTAGGTGGTCAATCCAGTACGTAGCACACAGGCCACCCTCACTTAGTTAGTGCATAGTGATGGTATGTTGTACCAGGAAAAAGGAACACGATCTCGAAAAATCCGAGTTTTTCGGTTTTAAGCTTTCCTCTTCGTAATTACGGCGCTCTATACATTTTTAATTGTTTCTAGCTTTATAATTATACCCAATCATTAGTACATTCGAATTTAGGCTTCAGGCATCACTATACATGAGTGCAGTCAAGCTCTCGGATCTATAAACATAACTCGGTAACAATAAATAAGTTGATAAGTAGATTCTGTTTTAATCGTGTAGTTAGTTAAAATCTCCACTGAAAACTGCAGGTTTTGTTGAATCGAATTAGGGCGCTAAGTTAAACCCTTCATATTGAGGAGTGAGATGCTAAACATACCAAATAGCAATTATTATACTCTAACAAGAGTACCCTTAACCCTTTCAGTTCACCTCCATATGGATATGTACAGGTTTTCTCGTATTCATAAGTTAATATTAAGAAATTAGTCCTTAGTTAGATATAAGTATATAATATTTTTATTTATGTTACCGGGGCCCCGTTTGTATGTTCGTCCCTATTTTTAGGGGCACTTGTGTTTTTTTGTTTCTCATTTCAGATATCTTTCCAAAAAATTGCTTACCAAGCATACGGGTACTACCAAAAAACCTCTACCGAATAGAAAGATATGTGCAAGCGAGTACCAACCACAACCCATAGAAGAAAATTGGTCAGACTAATCGATGTACCAAGACACTAAAATTATTGGCATACTGCTAAGTAATATGTATAAATCATTTTTCTTTATATTTTTTAAACCACTTTTTATTTCAGGATTACACAATTAATTTCTTTTCGCACCACAAAGCACCAGCACTTCCAAATAACTGCCAGGAGGATATGCATATGTAGAGGTTTTTATCGTATTATTGTTAATTAGACCTTAGTTATAACCATATATATTCTTTTATTAATATAACCGGGGCCCCGTTTGTAAGTTCGTCCCTATTAGGGGCACTTGTGTTTTTTTTTTCATTTCAGATGTCTTTCCAAGAAAACATTGTATTGTAGGTCTTACCAAGATATACACGAACCACCAAAAGACCACTACCGAATTAAAGGATATATGCAGGTGGGTATCAAGAATAACTTCTACGACCCATACGAATAAATGTGATAAAATTCTATGTTTACCTCTTTTTAGGTCTTACACGAGATTTGAAATAGAAAATGGTATACTCAAAATCAACTAGCACCACTACACGCCTACAACCCCTACAACTGAATTGGAAGATATGACATATTAATCAAAAGGGAAATTAACTGTGAGATAAGACTTTTTATTATTATTGTATAGTTATAATATTATATTATTGTATTATAGTAATATTTAGTTAATATCAGGTTAGGGGGCGTTTTGACATTAAAATCTTTGGTCGTACTTTTTTGGGGTTGTTTGCGTGCTTTTATTCAGAGCTCAAAAGGGTGGCGTCGTGAAAGAACCTTTCTTACATTTTTCGCGCTTTTCTTCACATTAATCAATTAATAATTACAAATCACAAAATGATTTGTCCTTAAACTTCATAGGCTGGGAACCTATGAAGTTTTTTTTTCCAAGTGTTTACATGGTGGATCTGGGGGGTACATCATGTAAATGCTCTTTTTTTATAAATTTACAATCACCGCTAAAATATTAAAGTACACATTTTATATTCATTTTTTTCTTCTTCGCCACGAGAGGTTCTTTCATTTTTAAAAACCGAAATTTTTAGGTACATTTAGCTCATTTCGCGGGGGTTCTATTCGCGTTATATTCGGGTCAGTTAGGTATAATTAGTTTATAAGTTAGTTTAAGTGGATTAGGGCTGCACAAATCGATACTTAGTAGTATTTACACTATATCCATTTCCATCTGAAATGTTAGAAACGTAAATATGAATAGAAGTATCTATTTCTGTGGCGACACCACATTAAAAAAAACGCGCCGAGCAACTTCACCTCATGGGTGGTGCGGAAGCAAGTTGCATCTTAATTAAGTACATATAGTTATAAAAATTAAAATATTTACATAATTATGTTAATTAATATACATAAATGTATCAATATATGTGTACATATCACTGATAATTACAAAGTAATATCGATATATCTTAAAATAAAAAATTTCAAAATAATCTTTGCTTTTTAATATGTCGTTAAAGTTATTTTTAATTTTTTTTTTGGCATTTTATAAAGAATTATTATATACTTTCAGAAAGAATATCATCAATAATTATTAATTTTGAATTTGTTGAAAAAATACTATATAAATACTACTAGGCGAAGAGATATGATGGTTTTTGATAAAATATATTTGATCAAAAATCATGCATCTCTTAGCATTGTAGTATCTATAGTTTTGTTTCAGCATCTAATTCAAAATCAACAACTATTATTCTTTTTAAAAGCATCTAATAATTATTATTCTTTTGAAAAAAAAACCTGAGTGTGAAAGATAATTCATAATTTCATTAATATATTTGTTATTATTTTTAAAGCCAGCCTAATAAATAAAACTAATGGGGCGCATGGTATCGTACCTTAAGACAAATTGCTGGAACTTCCCGTACCAATTTTTTTTTTAAGATTAACATTTTTGAGAAAAAAATTACTTTGAATTTTTGACCAAAATTTACTTTTTTTTAAGAAATGTTTTTGGATGATTTTTTAAACTAAAACATCTGGTGTAAACGTCTCCGTAAAATTGTAAAATATTATTACATACAACGGTCAGGAAAATTTGTTAATCCCATAAATAGGGAACGATCTTGCCCAGGTTCGACGGCTCATGTAATTAGGTTATAAAATAAGATTGTAAAATGTATTCCGTCGGGCCTGGAATTCAAAAAAATAGTTAGTCTAGCGTTAGCAGTCAAAGGAGAAGGAAGTTTGTAAAATAGTATAAAATAAAATTAAGTTGAATATAAGAGAAGTTTCATTTTCTAAAACAATCATCGTGGGGATTTTGCATTTCGTCGATTAATACAAATTACAGTCCACTATCGAAGCATCATCAACGACGTCATGTAAATCGCTCCAGTTTTCTTTATTTTGAAATATTTGGAAAATTATGAACTTTTTTTTCAAAGCAATCGTACTGCTTTAACTGCATAAAGACGGTTAGAACTATTCTACGTAGAATAGTGTATATATGTAAATTATAATTTACCAATATACTATTCTAGGGTCAATAATAATTCTTATTAAATGCGTTTACAAATATTTTGTTATTTAAATTTAAATGAAACTTTTTTGAAACAATTTTCAGTTTGATATGTTAAAAACAATCAATATATTTATAAATTGTACATACATTAAATACATTATAATTAATCTATTGATGCGAGAAAGTCGACAAAAAAAATAAAATTTACCTTAGATCGCGTTTGGATGAATTCAGCAGCATCGCTGTTTCTGTTTATTAATAAATCCTTTTTTATTCATGTCTTCAAGTAACTTAAATAAATTTCATATCTGACAATAAGCAATATAATATTTAAATATTAAAATCTATTAAAATTTATTCCTTTTTTCTTTTAAAAAAATATTTAATTTGTTTTCAACTATATAATATTGACCAGTAAAACATTAAATTCAGAGATCAATTATTTATTATATACATATATTAATATTTTATACAATTTAAATTAAATAAGTCACATTTCATCATTATGAAGATCATTATCTATTAATGCTTGCCTTTCATGTATTTTCAGATGACTACGCAACACATGTGATTGTGTGAAACCTTTTCCACAGATTTCGCATTTATATTTACGTTCCCCTGTATGAACAACCATATGTTGCTTGACATGTTTAGAAGTTAAAAATCGTTTACCACATTCTGTACAAGAATAATTGCGAATACCAGAATGTTTAAGCTTATGTTTAACTAGCTCACCACTAGATTTAAAAGCCATCTCACAATCTTCACAAGCAAAAGGTTTTTCACCTGTATGAAACCTTATATGAATGCGAAGCTTATTGGCATCAGGAAAACCTTTAGAGCATATCTCACAAATATGTTTGTCATAAACAGTATGATGTGTCCTTATATGACTAAATCTTGATGCCCAAGTAACAAATTTTTTATCACAGTGTTGACAAGCATATTTTAACACACCAATATGAGTGCTTTTATGAACATTAAGATTAGTAGCTGACTTATATGTCTTATTGCATATAGTGCATTTATAAGGACGCAAGTTTGTATGCGTTGTAAAATGTTCTCTCAAGGCACTATTAGATTTGCTGACATGTCCACACTGTGGACATAAATGCAAGTTATGGATCTTTGCATGTTTTTTATATTCAGCTTTGTTAGGAAAGAACAACTGGCACTTTCGACAAGCAGGTTTACGAGGTGATGTTTCTGATTTTTCTGAACCAGACCGTAATTGAGAATTTTTACTGTGATATTTATTCCAATGAACTTTATATTTTGTTCTATTGGTGAAAAACATTTGGCACTTGTGACACCTGGGCTGTCGAAAAGAATTTTGTGAAGAACAGTCAGGAATGTCTACAAAACTATTCAAATCTGGTGAACATTGAAGAAAGTTTATGCGATCATTTAATCTTGAATTTTGTTGTGAATTATCAAGACGATCTTGCAACATTGGGCTCGTTTGGTCTTCAGACTTTTCTATTTCTGTTTCAGAATTTTGTGGAAAAACTAGTTCCTGGCATTCATAATTATGATCTTGATCTTTCTCTGCAAATGATTCATTCTCAGCGGTTGGTTCATCTATGGCTTCAATTTTTTTTGAATGATTTAAATTTGTTTGTACTTGCCTTCGATGATTTTTTTGCCAATGCTTTTTATATTCTGCTCTATCAGAAAATGATAATTGACATTGATGACATTGTGGTTTATGGGATGATTTTGGAATGCATGAACCAAGTTCTGCAGAAATAATATTGAAACTATTTAAATCTACTGAGCTTGAAAACTTTATATAATCATCAATATCCTCGTTGTCATCAGTATTTGAGGAAATAGGTACCTGTTCATTTTTATATTCTGTTTCATCATCATTATCTTGAACCAAATCAAACTTTAAATAAGATTCTTCTTCATTTATTGTAGAAACTCGGTTTCATTAATATTATAATTTAAATCATTTACATCGTCGCTTAATAATCTGTACTTTCAGTTAAACTATCCAATTGCTCGATTGATTGCCTACATTTCATCCAGAAGCTATAAGATTCAATTAGTTCACTGAAACAACCATTACAAATATGTTTCGGGTAAGGGTCGTCATAAGATACATCAAGGGCTGTGCAAGAGAGAAACATATTCAATAAATCATTCTGTTGTTGTGAAGAACATAATTCTTCTGCTGGAAATAACGATTGCATTTCTTCATCTTGAGTTAAACAAGCACGACATGTGTTGTTTCCCAAAACAAAAACCGAAAAATTTCGATGAAGGTCTGATGAGTAGTATTCTAGTTCAAAGGGTAGGCTGTCTGTCATAATGCTACTACTATCCATTAATTCACATTTATTAAAACTAACAGATAAAATTAACGTAGCAAAACTTATTGTAAATTGATTAAACTATGTTTATAAACACTCTCTTTAACCTAAAATTCGAAATGTCAAATTTGTATACGCAGCTAACTTCTCCTAAGATGACAGAGGGATGACAATTTTTCAAAGTTGGCAGCGATTGCCATCATTTGATATTTTTATCTAAATATTGTGATTAAGTCAATTCTTACACATTTCGGCAAATTCATGCAACATGCCTTAAGGCTAATTACCACTTTCAACTATAGTTTATTAAAAAGATTCTTTGCACATATCGGGTTGTTTATACAACTTGCCTTAACGCAAAATTCCACTGACACCTATTTTATTTATTTGAATGACGCGCGCGTATCTAATAACAAAGTATCAATGACAGCACAAATGTCAATCTCGTATGAAATAAGAAATATTGCAAGTGCGCGCAATTTAATAAACATAACTTTAATTTAACATGTAATGTCGTAACTTTTATAAATAATTATGTGTTTAGCTTATTTCGTAATCTTCACTTACGTTCGAGTATCAACATATTTGAAACTAATCGAGTTTTAACAAAGTATATTCACTAGGCACTATCAAAGTCGTAATGTATGAAAATTAATATTTGGTATTATTTACAGGTTTATAGGTACTACAAGTACTGCATTAGATGTACATAAAACTCCATTATATAAAAATGAGAAAGCGAAGAAGATTAACCGCTATTTGTTCTCGAAATACTTCGATTATGTGAAACAATATGAACAGGTTATGTTAATCATATAATATTTTTTCAATTGCACTAAAACAATACTTTGTAATTATATATATATATATATATATATATATATATATATAATTTGGGCTCCAAACTTCTAAAAAAGTAAAAAATCATGTAATATGAATGATTGGGAGAATTCCTCAATACTTTTATTATATCTGCTTTGAATGAAATCAAAATAAATAATCTTATTTATGTCACTTATGTGCATTTACATCAGCATTGTGTGCTTAATTTTATTATGTATTGCAGGTAGTGGAAAAACGATTTCCAGGAGCTGTAAAAGCATATCGTTTCTTTATGCTTGGTGTCAAAGATTTTATGCAGACATGAAAGAATATTTGAGGGTACCATATAATATATTAAATTGATACGATATATAAAATTAAAATTAGTACATAATAATGCTTTGCTTTGCAGATAGTACTTAATATCACAGGATCTGAAAAAACTATAGCTGATTTATCTCGTAAAGAATTAGAAACTTATTTTTTCATGCCGAGAGAAATGTGGAAGGCAGCTCCTGTTCTTTTGCTGTCAGCCTTACCTTTTGCTTATATATAGTTCTTCCTGTGGCGTAAGTAGACTGAAATTACAATTATAATATTGTCATTTATATTATATATATATATATATATATATATATATATATATATATATATATATATATGCTATATATAAACATATTGCCGTAAATTTTTGATAAAAAATTATTTACATGATATATGAAATATGGTAAAAAAAACATATTAAAAGATATGTACAAATCAAATTAACGCTACATTGAAAATAACAAAACTTGTTGAACAATATTTTGGTTGGAAATATTTATCATAAGAGTAATGTTCAAACTTCAAAGCTTTTTTATTCTTTTTAGAAAAATATTTTGTTTTAAAAGATTTTTTTTTTAATTCTTAATCTGTAGTAAGTGTACTTCCTATTTTCTCAGTTATTACTTTCCTGGTTACTTATTAACACATCATTTTTGGACAAATGAGCAAAAGTTTGAAA